GACTCGTATTGGGTTTTTTGAGGGGAGGAATATGGGAAAAGCGATGGGAGACAAGCGCATGTGAGCAGCCCACCCAAACCCATTCCTCTTGTCCAGAGTGGGTGTTTCTACAAGGTGGGCTAGAAAGGCTTTATTTAGGCCTTGCTAGAACTGTGTTCTTCCATGAATCCAGCGCCCCAAACCCAAAAGGGCCAAATTTTAGCAGGTGGCTCGGTTTTTACCTGGTTTCCTCTTTTTTTGCTCGACTCAGGGACTATGCATATACCTATGACTTGGAGAAGGATTCCACGAAATTCTCCAAATATACCTGCATTTGAATTCACACTGAAAGGATAGGAAAGCAAGAAAAGGAATCATGTCGCTACTCCTCTGGAGCTCTCTCAGTATTTGTGTGTGTTTGTTTGTTTGTTTGTTTGTTTGTTTGTTTGTTTGGAGCATTGGTTATTTTTTGTGTTTGTTGATCATATATTGCCTGGTTGTTCTTTTCTATTTGAGGCCGCCTATTTCCCAAAGGACATCTATGGTTTGGAAGGTACCCTTTTGGAGTACTAACATGGAATTTCTTGTTTACTTCTCAGGACTCGGAAAGGGGCAGCAGACAGTTTGCCCTCCCAGGATCACAACTCGGAAATTAACTTTGTTTGGCAGACTGTCCTGGTCTTTATATATTAAACTTGTTGCATTTTATGGTGTTCTTCACGTTCCGGTTCAACCATCAAAAGTTTACGCTTTTCAAGGTCTAGCCCTGAACCTCTGTTCTGTTAAACCAATCTTTGTGTGCGTAAAAGGCAGAGCAGAACAAGTGGTGCTTTGGGATTCCAGGTTTGGGAGATTCATCGCTGGAGATCTCATCCCGGTGGGTCAGGCCTATCTCGTGCACTGGCTCATGGGCAACGACGAGGACACGCGAGCAAGCGCTCAGGGTCCGTTCGAGCAGTTTTTTTTTTTTTTTCCTGGTGGAGCACGGTTTCTTTTTGCATGTGCTATTTGATCGAGAAAAAAGGGGTTGTCCCCAAATATGGTTTCTCCCTCAGTCACAATTGGCGCGATTCGCCAGTCTGGGGTTTAACCCCTTGACTTTTCGGGTTATGGCCCTAGTCTTCAACGGCCGCTAGTGCCTAAGAGATACTGGCTTGACTGCCTTTCTGTTTTGGCGAACTCAGTAGCTCCCATTAAAACCCAGGTGTGTACGCAAAAGTGAATCCACTTGTTCCATAGGGGTTAATAAGCATGGGTCATGCACGCTAAGCAGGTATGTAGATCAAGGGTTTCTAAGCTGGCAATGACTCTGAAACACTGGAGTTCGAACTATTGCTAGCACTTAGCACGCTTGCATCTTGGTTTTCCTTCATGTTCCTCAACCCGCAAACCATGCAGTCTGGCCAAGCTACCACATCATTCCCACATTCCAACTTGAGGAGGGCGTGCGGATCCTGCTGAACAACGCGAAGCTGCGGCAGAAGACCTTTCCACACTGGGCCTTTTGGCTCTGGCAGTGGATGTAAGGTGATTTTAGGGGTGTTTATGTTTGGGTGGTTATGTTTGGGTGTGGTATTTTCTCTGTGGGTGCCTTTCGGCATCACCGGTTTGCGCCAATTAGAAGGGCGGTTTCGTTTGGTGGTGTGATGTTTCTACCGGGCGTGTATGTAGCAAAGGTGCTTTGAAGTACTTATTCTTGAAGTCCGCAAACCTGACCGAACCTGACACGTAGCGAAGCGACATCCCCCCTGCCTGATTTGCAAGGGGTGCTTTGAACATTCGGATGCTTCAGTGTGTGTTCAACTTGATCAGTCCAGCGGACTAGGTTTCCACTCATTGTCTCCATGTCGAACTCGAAGGGTGCAAATGCCATACCACCTGCCCTTGTACTCACCAGGTGAACATGCATAGGCGAATATTGTTTTTTGTGGGTATGTGGCGCCATCTTCTCCCTGAGTCTCACGAGCAAAATTGGGGCTGCTGATAGGGCCATTGAAGGGGTCTGTGGAGGGCCACAGTTCTTTGACAGGGGTCTCTATGCTTCACTTGAAAGCGTGGTTTGAACCACATCACATTTATTTGGCCGACTTAGAGTAAGTTTCCTTTTGGTGTGATGCGTGAAGGGGAAGCATGGGGGGTTGGACCCTTGGACCGGTACCCATTTGCAAGCTCTCTCTGAGGACGAGCTGGTGCAATTCGCGAACGGTGAGATTAAGGCGAGAGAGCAGTTGGCCAACTTTGGGCCCAAGAGAGGGTGAGGTATTGGCGATTGGCACCGAACCGTGCCCCAAAAAAGTTCCGGGGTAGGCCCAAAACTGTTATATGCACCCTCTACTAGGGTTATGCAAATTGAATCGACCAGGCTTGCCCGACCCTGCCCCAGGTCGACCCAGATGGCTGTGCGCCTTCAGGCAACAGGTGGTAAGCCACGCAGTTTCGCCAGGCTCAGGACTTCAAATCCGCGAAGCAGGCGAAGAAAGGCGCCGAGTGGGAGTCGGAACTCGGAACCATGAGTCAGCAGCCAAGACCTGCAATTCCTATCCAGGGTGAAAGTAGATGACACGACTTCCCGACATTATGGGCATGTGGCGGGTTGACGAAGCTCTGTGGAACTGGTGCCATCTAAGTTCACCAAACTCTGCTTCTCCAACCATTCCATTCCCAAGCCAGAAAGGCCAATCTGGAGTGCCCTAGCTCACCAACCTGACCTGGCCACTGAAAGTTTCATCTTGAGCAAAAAAGGAAACAACTTAATGGATGGGTTGCTAAAGTCAGTCAGTAATCCTTCTGCCAGATAGTGGCTTTCCTTTTTGCAGTCCCACTACGGATCCTCGGGCTAAATAAATGGAAATGCGGCTACCACCCAATGGAAAACACGGTTTTTTAGGCAGGGCACTTTTTGCTAAGAATAATAGGACCTCGGAAAGGCCTTTTTGGTCCAACGCCTTCCAATAGAGATCTAAGTCCCTCCAATGGAGGGTCCTTGATGCTCAGGGCAGGATGTTGCCTCCTGTAGACCTACCTATCACTTTAGCCCCCAATTGGTGGTGTGGAAGTTAAGAGGTTTGTCCAGTTACCCTCTACAAGAACCAAGTGTTCAATTCCCAAAACCAATCCAGACCACCAGCTAATGGCAATGTGAACCTCGGGACACCGGCAGGGATTTCTACAGGAAATTGGCTTCCCAAACATGCCAAAAACCAATTGATACCTCGTACAATTGATGTTGCTTTCTTAGAACCTAGGATGTCCATTGAAGTGAAAAACCGCACCCCAACGGATCTGGCAGGCGCCTTGGAGTTACAATACTCCTTCGAGGACGCGCACTCGGCACGGCGCTCAGACCGGCGTGTTTTTTTGAGGAGCAGGGTACCCTGTTAGGGGGCTGGTTGAAAGGGACACCAGCAGGAAACATGAGACAAGCACAAATTTGAGGGTGCGAGGGACATGACAGGGGTCCAGATCTATCTGGGCGCTCAAGAGGGTTTCCTGGCAAACCCTTCAAGGGGCAAATTACACGAAAGTAGAAGGCACCAATTGGATGAGGGCCGGTCAAGAAGCAACCAGCAGTCTATGGTTCATTTGGGGGTCATGGAATACGCTGCAAATTCCAACCGAAGTCAGGGGACTCCAGCACAGTTTCCCCATGTCCTTTAAGAGAACCAGATATGGCCATGAATTACAAGAAGGAATTCCTGGAAAGTGGTTGGTGGAAAGAAAAAGCCCACCTAAATGATGTCCACCAGAGAGTCCCTAATTAAAATTCATGCCCATATGGGTGTGCGCTTTTTTAGGGGACCTGCTGAAATGTTGGTTTTCCTGTTGGTTCCCTTTAAAACCGCAAAAACAAAGGAACCCCCCTCCCCCCCAAAAAAGAGAAGAAGAAGCGACAGGACAAGCCAGACGCATATAGAATTTGGAACTTGCTTCATTTGCAGACTTGCATCGGTCAGTAGATATCCTGACAAGGGTCAAAGTATGGCACAACTCCTGGGGGCGGCTGATAAAACCAGTGAGATGTTGCGTCGACTTTCACCCAGGGGTTCGCTGGACACAAGGGTCGCTGGGCTTGGCTCAACATGGAGCCCCCCGTTTTCGTCTCAGGTTTCCTTCAAGAACCCTAGAGGTAAACGGTAAACGATTGATGCAGGGTCCCCACGGCACAGGCTTCGTAAAGGAAACCAAGATCGGGAGCGCGGTTGAGACACTACTATATTCGGGTCCGAATTTGCTGTGGCCGTTGGAGTTTCGTAGATGCCCTCCTTTTTGATGGGTGCGTTCTTTGGCATCCATCAGGACTACTTTAGCGTTGAAAGGGATCCCCTGCAGGTATCACCTGGTCTGGGATCTCTTTTAGACTGATACCTGTTAAGGTCCAGTGAACATGGAACAGAATATATTAAGTCCGTGTTTGCGTTAGGGGCAGAAGCTGAGGCAGTTGTGGGCATCGTTTCAAGTCCAAAGGATTCGCAAGTAAGCCTGACCCGTTTCACCCAGACGTGATACCTGGAAATACGTGCTTGGGCCGCTCTACCCAGCATAAGGTTTCTCAGAACCCTTCTAAGGAGCCCTAAGGCGGCTAGCTGAGGCAGTTGTGAGCATCGTTTCAAGTCCAAAGTTTCGCAAGTAAGCCTGACCCGTTTCACCCAGACGTGATCCTGGAAGTACGTGTTTGGGCCGCTCTACCCAGCATAAGGCTTCTCAGAACCCTTCTAAGAAGCCTTAAGACGGCTCTAAGAACCCTTGGGTTGTGCGGGGGCAGGCTTTGCCCGCAGGTAATTGTTGTTCAGAAGGTTTCGGGAAGGGGCGCGGGTCTGGATTTCCGGCACCGCGGAACTTCGAAAACGTTATTTTTTGTTTTGTTTTGCGGGTTGCCGCAGAAACTACCCGTGATTTTAGGAGTTGATTCGGAACTTTGAACAACGGTTCTGCAGAAGCGTTGAGTTTGCGCCACAGCTTCGAGGAACCCTTCGAAGATCACTTGAGCGGAACACTCTCAAGAGCCCTTTTCTTCTCGACAA